TTATTGTGTGTCAACACGAGAATCGTGTGTACAATAAATATCAATAAACTAGATAATCGTATTTTTGTGTATTTTTTATATTTTTTAAATCGTGCTCATTTATTAGTTTGATAAAAAATAGTTTTGAACACACATGGTGCTAAAATTAAATAACATAGTATTAACTTACAATAACGACATTATTACATTTTTTGTGATTAACTATTATGGTAAATATTTTAATTACAAATAGCTGTTAATTAAGCTTAGAACGTTAACGACCTTATTACCATATCAAACAAATTAAACAAACTTATTAAACCATGCACAGTAAATATTCATATAAATCATGTTCATTTTTATTATTATTATTTTAATGCCATTATTATTGTCGTTTAAAATCGTATCGTTTTATTGTTATGTATAAATTTATTATAGATATCCTGAACTTAATATCTCTACATTATATTAGTGTTATTATTATTATTACCACGATTACTATTATGTTTGCCTATGGTTTATACCATAACAGTAGGACATAATAGCCCTGTAGTTATGATAGATTTTTCAATTTAATAGTAATTCTATGCATAAAAGTTTGCGACAGTTTTGTGCACATTATATGCAAAATATTCTGTAAAGAATATTCTGTGCGTTTATGTTATGATTATTACATAACCCCATAAACGGGCGCATAAAATGCCTGTTCATTGATTATACTGTGTGTTCATAGCATAACATATTATGGCACATGTGAAATCACCGTGTTTTGCATTCACAATATTCAATTTACCATATGTTTTATTCAGACACTATACTATTAAATAGTGACTATGGGTTACAATGATAATGTATTATTCAGCATATTGATATCACAAAAGAAAAAATAAATATTGAATTAAGCTTGTCTAAATAAAATATAATATAGTAATAGTGCAAAAAATTGAAATATAAAATTGTTGACAAAACATTCATCAATGTTTAAATTTAACAAGACTGATTTTATAACAAATAGTAATTATAATTACATTTTAACTAAAAATAAACTATATAAATTACCTTGTTAATACCAAAATTCATTATCACGAAGTTGCATTTTAACAATTAATCAATGTTAAGTTTGCAGACAACCACAATAAAATGTATACAGTTAGATAGAGTGCGCACATGCACTACAATTTAACCACATTTTCAAATGTCTTAATGATGTCTTTAAAAAACTAAATTTTTCATTTGATTGTATGGCAAACGAGTTAACGAATTGAATGAAATGCAGGAAAAAAATAAAAAATTTCTCGCACTTCACTCTATCGCTAATTGTTATGTAGTTTAATAGTGTAATGCATTGTATTGTGAACTACTGTGCCATTAGATTACATGTTATTGTGTACAACGGTTTGAAATGAATAAAAAAAGTAAGTTGCTAAACTATCTAGTGTTAAATGTTGAGTTTTCACTAATGATCTCCAGCTTCGCAGACACTATTAACTGCTCGATAAGTTTGTTCACAAATTGAGATGTTTAATACGAGAGAGAGAGAGAGAGAGAGAGAGAGAGAGAGAGAGTTGTTTTTATTTATGTTAGGTAAAAATATATAGTGATAGGTCATTACTATAATATTTAAATATTATATTTGTGATAAAATGTGACAAGCATAAATATAAAACATCTAATTATAATTCTAAGAATGTCATTTTTTGTAGGAAAATAGAAATCATTAATGCACTCAATTGATTAGTAAAGTAGTTGAGCTTGATGTTTTACTGAAATCTTGATGATATCAGATATAGTTATTTACTGTTGATAAATCGCAAAGAATATTCTGTAATTATATTTAGCAGTTAATAAATAATGACATTGGTAATTTTATGTTTGATTGCCAGTAAAAGTGTGTTAATTCAATGTATGACAGGAGAGAGAGAGAGAGAGAGAGAGAGAGAGAGAAAATTATATTATATAGTTTATCTGTACTTTTATTCAGGATCTCTCTCTCTCTCTCTCTCTCTCTCTCTCTCTCCATGGCGTGTATATTGAATGACCACTCAATCAAACTAATAAATAACTCGATATAAATTTTTTCTTGTGTGCAACAAAAAAAATCCAAAATCAAATCCCTATTTATTTGTACAGTATATACAGTGTATACATACACTATACAAACATAATTACATGAATTATAACGATACACATGCACTGCACTGTACTGTACTCTACGGCGTATACCATAGCGATAGTCGTGGATATAAATCAGCGAATTTATCGCTAATAATAATAACGATATTATTTTTTTGCGAGAAATTTATTACACATACACTGTATTAGCAATAAATTTGCTGTTAATATAGTGTTTTGTGTGATAATTATGAGTTAGTGTGCGATAAGAGAGTTAGTGATTGTATGTAAGAGTAAGCTATTGAGAGAGAGAGAGAGAGAGAGAGAGAGAGAGATGTTGTAATTAATTCATTCATTAATCACTATATTATCGGTTATTTAATCTATTTTTCACATTAAATACTAATAATCTATGAGAGAAATCATCGCTAATTAGAAACTATTTATTGACATTAAGTACCATTGCTTTCAATAATAACCCCATTATTATAGTGTCTGTGATTTATTAGCACTTATAATAAACTATTTGTTTTTTGAGAAACTATTTTTATTTTGTGTTAAATATTTTAATTATTTCAAAAATTATTTATAATGTTTAATTAAAACTCAATTTACATAATTAACATTTTATACGAATAAGTATAAATGCACAAATGTTATTTTTAAAAGTAAAATAAATGTATAAGTTATAAATTAATAAAATGTTAATATTCATTGTGTTTTAAATAAATAATTTTAAATGATCATGTGATATCTTTTTGGTAAATATAGTTTTATGATAAATAATGTAACTGGTACAGTATATAAAAAATTGTTTATCTCACCATGTCATGTACTATCGTTACCTAACAATTGTTCACGTTATTATGTAATGCGCGTTTTAGTTTTACCATAACAAAAATAAAATAATTATAGTAAAATTCAGTAGACTACTAAATCTCTCTCTCTCTCTCTCTCTCATTAAACAAATAACAGACAAAATAGGGATTGCATTGTGTTTTAATACACTATACAAATGCCAACACACCGTCTGATAAACAAAATCAACGCAAACAATAAAAATGCGATCAAAATAATCAGGAAATCTATTATTTTTTTTGTGTTTTGGTTGTTATTGTCTGTTGTTTTGTACGTGAGATTTATTGTACGGTTTTCTACTTATGGTGTGATTGCGAGAGAGAGAGAGAGAGAGAGAGAAAGAGAGAAAGAGAGAGAGAGAGAGAGAGAGAATTTTGTTTAAACATCTCTTGCATTCACTTTTCATTATATAAATTAGATTTAATTATATTATTTTGAAGGAAATAAAGCCTATTATGTGACTCATTCTGTATATGGCTTTGGATACTGAATATACGGTATAATAATAATTATATCAAATAATCATAATTGTAGTGCACTTTTTGGTTCATAATTTATTAAAACCCATTGTTTTTAAACAACAAAATTTCAAACACATTTTGATAGCCTTCAAACAAACACCAGATTTTTTATTTCGTATTTATATATCATTTGATATCTGTTTTGACTTAAATAAAATTGAAGGCCTTTTGGTTTGGTTACAAAAATAACCACTTCTTGTTATTAATTAATAGTATTTAATTAATTCATACATTAAAATGTCTTATTGTATGAAATATACCCCCATTTAGTCATAACGTCCTTCTGATACAAAAACGATGTGATTATGAGATAAATCAGTGATAATAAGTGTCTGAGGAATACCATCGAGTGGTTCCCCTCAATCATATGAATCACTATTTATTTATAAATTAAAATTAGTTTTCATTGATATTCACACAAAAGTTGTGCTCATTTTTCATTGGTTAACCCATAATGTTTTTGTGACATTAAATTCTTCAACAAATTGATGAAATAATTAATAAATATTTCAATTTCAATAACAACTATGTTTGCCTTTCAATACAATATCGCATTTCGTATCAGCACTTCCTCTTCAGACAAACTTATTTATCTGAAAATCTATGAAAACACATATTGTATGCAATTTTTTTGCAAACGGTTTTTTGAATTTAATTGACGAAACAAATGGAAACAGCAATTTCTAGAAAAGTTTAACTCGTGATAACTTTGTTTGTATTTATAAATAGGATAATAGTGGTATAAATAGAGGCGCATGGACAATTTGCCAAAAATGTTTTTAACCCAGTGTGGAGTTCAAAGTATTTTAACAGTGTTTACAATTATCTCCACAACAACATTGAACTTTAACAAAAAATTTATTAAACATACAATTCAAATATAATTTAAATATAAAATATGAAAACACAAAGCGATTACAACTTAATATTTTATTTTGTAAAAAACAAATTCAATTGCAATTAGAATAACATATTTAAGTAATAAAATGTTTATTCTTTATTGAAGGGATGAAAAACAAAGTAAATCATGAATTCATAAATCATTATAAATTACTAGTAATTAGTGTTTGAAACGCTGCCTAATGTTCGGCCATAAATTGAAACCACACTCAAAGCTCGATATACTTTGCAGTGAATGGTATTTGGATTCATAAAAAATAGTTGTTTTTTAGTGGAATTGATAGCAATTCCGTTTACAGACGAGTAAAGAGCCGTTATTTCGATAAGAGTTAGCCATTAATGCCAGTGCTGTTGATTAGGACCGCGTTTGCCGACCTGTTTATGGCGAACAACAAGAAAACAAAACATCAGTCAATTTACATGACATGCATATTATTAGGCACTCGTTTACAACTCATCCAATCAATTATTAAACACCAATTATTGGCATTTTTATTCTCTTTCATAACTCATACATAAAATATGATCACATCCTCGACACACATCTCATTCATACAAATATGGTATTAGAAATTAGATAAAACATATCGTTAGAAAGGCATACATACCAAATATACACAACGATGGGAATTAGCTAATGCTGGGCCTCTTTTCGACCTTAGTTTGTGGCTTCTTATGCTCCGTATTCTGCAATTTGTTCACTATTTTCCTGGTGTGACCGTTGGGGTCGTTGTGGTTGGTGTGATCGGACACCTCCTTCTTGGTCCTCTGTTTGCCGCCGTGACCGGTGTTCACATACTTGTCCTGATCGTAGTTGTAGTGCTCGTATTCGTCCACATTCTGTTCAGACATGATTTGCTAACAAAACTCAAACTTTTTTTAATACAATAAAAATCACTAAATTTAATAACAAAAAACAGAGCTTTTCTTAATAGGCTGTTAAGTGTTGTGGATATCTCTCTCTATGTGTTATATTCCGTGTTTTGTTAGCGACTTAAATACCCGTCCGCTCCGAAGGTTAGCGCATAGCATAGGGTGTTATTATGCAATTCCTATGCCAACAGTGTTCCCATTGGACGCCTGGATTTGTCGGTGCAGTGATGATGAAGTGATGATCAGTTTTGTTCACCAACCAAAACCAGGTGAAATGTTTTTTGTTTAGCTCGCGTTATGTATATGTGTTTTCAAACTAACAAATGCTAGAATATTATTGCAATTTGTTTGATTAGTCGACACAAAATTTATCACATTTAATATGTTTTAAAACCGCTAAAGGTTTTTACATTATCTGCAATTTTTACGATACTCTGACTCCAAAACATAACAATTACTTTTGCAAATTTAATTTAATAAAAATTTTAATCCATTAAAAATTTGTTTCCAATGGTTTTGTGACATATTTTTGCACTGCATTTTATCATTTAATTCAGTTTTTCTTTTGTTTCCAAATCCCTAATGTTTTATTTAATGCATACATAATATTGACTTACTTTACAGTAGTTTTATTTTATAGTTTAATGAGTTTTAAATACCATATAATTTAAATGATTCAAAAGAATATCTTATGTAACGTTAATACAGAATTTATTACATATAAAGCCTAACATATAATTACTGGAATATCTGTTGGCCCACAAAATATTAGTCTTAATTATATATTAGGGGTTCACAAATTTGGGGGAAGGGGTGTCGGGCAAAGCGAACTTTTACCAAACGCTATTTCTAAAATTATTGTCTAAAATTAATATAAAACTAAAATTATTCCATGTTTACAATACATTATTTAAACGATTAGTTTAATTTTAGTTAAATTATTTATAAATATAGTGGTATTTTGTTTAATTTTTTAGTGGTGGGTCATAAACGGGACATTTGCGAACGATTGCAAATTTAGGGGGGAGGGGTCTATATTTCTTAAAAAGTGCGAACGTAGTATGTGAATCTTTTAAACAAATTAAATTTTATTTAAAAATTATTTACACGAAGGATTTTAAATATAACAGAAGTTAAAAGCGATGATTCATTAATTGTTATTTAAATGATGAGAATTAATACAATTGTAGTGAAGAGTTGTTGTTTTAATGAAAATATTGATATATTGTATAACTGTATTGATTGTATTGTTTGACTCAACCCTTACCTTACGTTTATATGACAAACAATAAAAAGATGATAAAAATACAGTACATTTGTTATCATTTATTATATAACTTGGATTTGCAGATGTCTGGCAATACTTTTTATGCAAAAACATCCAAACAAAAGATATTACATGTATATTCATAATGACATTCATTATACTTGTTTATATTTATTTATCAATATAAGAAAACAGATTCTGTGTGTAATAATATTGGTAATAAAAAGTTTTTATAAACTATAATTATTCCCTAAATTACTCTTTAATTGATGTGACTTTTAAAATGTTGTCATAAAAAGTACATTAATTCATTTAACATGTAATTACAAGTTTCTATGATATTTTTGGTACACAATAGAAATGCTTAGTTTCTATGGACTTATAAATTACAACCATTTCGTTATCAATTTATCATATCTTATATATTTATGAGCTTTTAATTTATTTATTTATTTGCTATACTTATGTCTTATTTATTACAATTAATCATTCATTGCTAAATGACATAACATTTGAATAATAGATGTTATGAATAATTCTTGTTATTAACGCCAATCGATATTTCAAAGTATGAAAACATATGTGAGTTTTAGTGTATATGAAATTCAATTAATACATCCCTTAATTGCAATCTTAAAAGTAATAAACTTTTATAAACTTAATTAATCAATCATTTGATTTTTTGTCGTAAATTAATATATTTAGTACTTTTCCAAAACATATCACTCGTATGTTATCTGTTTTGAAGACGTTTATAAACGTTAGACTGAAACCCATGTTTTCAATTGATTGCAAAAAATAAACGTATTTTGCAATCATTTGGAGATTATTTTTGAAAGGTTTTTGTTTTGAAGACTCAAAACAAAGTCTTATGAAATTTTTATAATAAATTGTTAGATATATGAAAAAATTAGATATTAAACGCGTAATCCTTTTTGTAGTGGAAGTGAAGTGCAATCAACTTTTTCTTCATATTATGTCTGTTTATTCTTATACTAAAATATCTATTGATTTTTCATTTAATTTAATATATAAAATCATTTTAAGTCTTTCGAAATCATATATTATTAATAAAATGAAATAATTTTTAAAATGAATTTTCTTTCAAGAATTCTACTAAAAAGTAAAAACACATTAAACTTAAAGAACTTTTTAAAAAATTATATAAATTCTGGTTTTATTTATTTATTTTTAATTCGTTCACAACTCAGTCGTTAAGACATGAGAACCGAAAAGAAATTGAAGAGAAAATTAATTAAATATTTTTTATTAGACAAAAAAGGAATGCAATAAAAATATTATATAAATTACTTTATTTTTGAGCGATTATTCACTTTAATAAATGGTTAGAAAAATGGGAACAAATAAGAGATATATTATGAGATGTTATATAAATAGATAGTTGTTTATTGAGCTTAACGTTTATAATTGAAAAGACATTATCTATTTTATTAATAACGATAAAACCATTTTCGATGTAAACACTAACTGTTTGTCTAAAATAATTTATTTTGAATTTAGTCTAAAAGCAAAATAGTTTCCATTTATTCACATATTTTTCTGACTCCATGTGTTAATTCAATGATGATTTTTATTGCTAAATACCTGTTTACTTCTCATTGATTAATATTTATAATGAGTTTTTTGTTGTTTTGTTGTTAAACATATGAGAATTGCAATTATTTAAACAGAAAACTCATTTTCTTTATTAAAAAATTAAAATTATTTCACAAAATGTAATGTTTTGCGGCAATAAATGGTAAGAGTAAAAGTATAATTTACAACAATATTGAAAATAACATACATTTGTGCAAATATTTGTATACACTTTACAACTTATTGTGTACCCCATTAACTGCTAAATTCAGTCAAATCTCAAGTTTAACTCATATTAAATTTTTAATGTAATTGTCGCTAATAGTCTCATATAAAGCCATTAATTGTCAGTTGAATTAAAAAAGAAAATTAATTTCTCATTTTGAGACTCACGGGAAGTCTCTTTCAGATAAATATTTGTTTTTTAAATATTTTAATTGCAAAAAAAGAAGTGAAAGTAATGACAAAATCAGGTTTTTGTTAGTTTTATATCTATCGAAAACTATAGTTAACAAAGAAATGCAATCGACAGCACTTTTATGAGACATCATATCACTTGAGATCGCGATTTGCAAACCTCTCGCAAGCAATTGGCCACTCGTTTGGATCAATTAAATGCTTTTATTTGAAAATAAATGCTATCAAAACCCAGATTTAATTCTGGTAATGGATTCGACAGAATAAACATGTTTTCTGTTTGAGTGAAAATTACATAGAGTTGTCTCAACACAACTCATCGACAATACTGTTGATGAGAGTCGAAGACATTTGTTCTGTTTGTTTTCACAGATATTTCATTCAAAAATTAATTAAACAATTATTTTTGTCTCTTTCGGTACTTATATATTGTCTTTTTGTCTGTTTTTTTGCATTAATGTCAACAAATATGCCTAAATTAAACAAATATTATTGTAATTATTTATACCAAGCATTAATTCCATGATTTAGCAGTTTTAGTAATTATTTAACATTACGTTATTTGAAATTCATATATTGAATTAAATACTGGTTAATAACACATTTGCATGTAATTTTGCATAACAAATCATATAGTAAAACCTATTCAAATCTCCCTCTCTCTCTCTCTCTCTCTCTCTCTCTCTCTCTTTCATTGCTTGCGAGAGGTTTGCAAATCGCGATCTCAAGTGATATGATGTCTCATAAAAGTGCTGTCGATTGCATTTCTTTCTTTCTTTCTTTCTCTGTTTAGATTTCTTAGAACACAAAGACTTAACTTCTTAAAGCAAACACAGTTTGGCTAAATTTAATTGTATTTGATAAACATATTATTTTGAAGTGTTTGTGAAAAATAGACAAATTGTCACGTATTCTGCCTAATGTTTAGTTATGTCTAAATATATTACTAGTTATTACTAGTTATGATAACTTTCGATGTCTTTAGAGATACTATTGATTATTTTGGTGTCGTTCAGCAATTTTTCAGACATAAGGTTTAAATATTGCAAAATAAGAGTTTTGATGTCTAATAATATTTGTTAGAAATCATATTAAATATCATTTTTAAAACCAATTTTATTTACAACAACTGAGCAATTAATTTCAAAAATGCATACAATTTTAGTATTCATTTACAAAACTAAAATAACTTTATTTTAACAACAATAGCATCCATACTATTGTAATCGTAAGCTCTAATTGTAATTTAATATAAATTTACCATATATTAATTAAATAGCGTATATTGTATGCAAAAATAAGAAATATATTATTATATAATGTAATACAATATGACATGTGAAACAATACACTTTCTTTTGTTTTCATCCTTTCTTTCATTATAATAAATAATAACAATATATTCAATAGTATAGTACATATCAACTATACATTCCCTTTGAAGTTGATTTGAGTTTAAATACAAATAAAATTTCTATTCACTAAATGAATATCAAATATCAATTACTGTCCGTTCGGACAAATGTTTAATTAATAGGAACGGTAAATATCGGTGTATATTAACAACTCTATAGACCCAGAGTATGGGACCATTGGTTAGTGTAAAATCAAAATCACTTTTGGTTATACCAATCAGAAAATAGATTATTCGATGTATAAAATTTACATAACATTATGTAATTATATGGTATAACCAAACATCAAACGATATTTACAATTTTTACGGCATTTCGGCAATAATTACATGATAAAAAGTGTCAATTCATTTAAAATCTCAATTGTTATTTAAACTTAAATTATTATTCATTATATAAATAGATTTTGAAAACAATTTAAATAAATTACATAATAATAATAATACCAATACATTGGATATCATAATAAATATGGTATTTTAGGAGCAAATGTTTTGGCGAAAGACTAATAGTAGCTGTCATTGACTTGTGTTAAAAGTCCTGGAATTACAAACACATTATTTTTTTGTCATACAATAAATTAGCGAAAAACAAAACATTTGATGAAAATAACTATAAATTATGTATAATTGAGAACATTATGTATAATAGAAAATCGAAAATAATAAATGTAATGAAAAATCATTAATAATAACATTAAAATAGTTCCTATTCATCGCTTATACTTCTTGAGGTCTTCTTGAACTTTCCAAAGCATCAGCTTTAGTGCTGCGGTCGCGTCCTCTCGGCTATCGTGACCGTCGACTACAAAACAATGACAATATATTTACTTAAAAATTCAAATATAACAACAAACGCATCGTTGGTTACCGTCGTCTTGAATGATCTTTTTAAGGACTTCTGCGGTGATTGTTCTTAAGGCTCTCTTATATGGAAGGCCTCGCTTGTGAGGAAACACTTGTGCCGTATCGACAACTGTGTTGTGAATTAATTTCAACGCTTTTAAGTCACTATCAAGACTGTGTCCAATTAGTATTGTCTTGTCATTGAATAACGATTGAAGTTTGTTTTGAACATCACTTAATGTTGTGGTCACTCTCTTCAGATCTGCTTCCTTAATGCCTGAGAACTTACTGTTATAATCGAGTATTGGATGCGAAGGCTTAACAAATGTTTCGTAAATCGGGGTTTGATTGGCCGTAACTACTGTCACACGAGTCAACTCCAGTCCATGCGTTGTGTAACACTAATTCATAACATTTAATCAGTTAATAATCAAATGCATTAAAAACGAGTCATTATTAGATTGAATACCATTTCACAGTCAAGTCCGTAAATGCCATAATAGCCCGAAGCCGGCGGCGGTTTTTTAGGAAGAGTTCGCACGTAATCATCACAATAATCAGGTCTATCACAGCCGTCGGCAATATGATAAGCATTGGAAGAACAGCCACCGGAGCCGATGTCGTTCTTACAACACGAGTACTTCCTTTCTATGCTCTTATTGTACCTCTCGGTCCAAATGCGGCCGAAATGGTAGACACAGACCTCCTTTCTGGTGGGCATATCGTTATCATCGACTGTATAAGTCTTCTGACATCGGGAACAACTCCGGACTGTTGTCTCGTAATTGTTGCGAATTTTTTCAGCTTTAAGTTTGGGCAAAACGGCTGAACCTCTCTTCTGAGGGTCAGGTCTGGGATATCCGTAATCGACGAGTTGTGACTCTTTCATCACATACTTCTCCAGCATTTGATACAATTGTGTTTCGGTTAACTCGTCCACAGTTAGCGAGTGCTGCCGTTTCTCAACACTAAAAGTACCAGAAATTTTGCCGTTAAGTATAGCCTCGTGTGAAACCAAACGGTTCCCAATTTTCTTCATCTCCTCTGCGGTCATATTCTTCGCATTCGAGTCTTTCTTTTGACCATCAGATTCGGTACGAATTTTCTTCACCTCATGGACTGATAGGACTCTATATATTTGTTCGGTTTTGCTTCTGTCGTAAACTGATTTCTCAGATGACAAACCCTTTTCAAACAAAAAGCAAAAATCATTTTAAAATATTTTAAATCATTTTATCAAATCATAACAAAACACAACTCGATATGCAATCAATGAGAGAATCTGTAAGCTATACAATAAGAATCCAGAAACATTCTCAAAACATAATATTGACTTAATTTAGCAATAAATATATAATTAATGGCTAAACAAACAAAATTATTATTGCAAACACTACAAAAAAGTTCATATGAGATGTTAGGGCTCGGCTAAATGTTTACACTGGTTTCCAATTATGAAACCCGAGTCTCAAATGATAACTGAATTTTTAAAAGTAATTTTATAGTCAAATGAATACTGCAAACAAAATATGTGTCGAAAACAATAAAATGAACTAAAATGAAATGTCTGACATTTTCTATCAACAAATACGATTCAATTCTGGGACTAATTTATCCAGAAAAAAAATTTAATGATAATTTTGCTGATAATAATAGGGAATAACATAAATAAAACACAATTATTATAAACAAATTCATAACATATAAAACAAATAATTACTCGTTTGAATGACTCTTCTTCTGTTTGAAATGTGAGGTATTCGTCAATGAATTTATTCAAACAATTTTGTCTGATTTTGAGCGACAATTTGTTGCCCAAACCGCCGATCAGGACAGGCCTTTTGGCAACACTGGGCTGATGTGCGACCCTTTTCTTTCCGATTACACCACTGTTTCCAATCGTTTCGGAACCGCTTTTAGTGTCGGTAACGGCAGCGCTTGGTTTAGGTCTGTGTGCTATTCGACCCTTAATCTCCTTTTGTGCCTAAAAAACAATTCAAAAACATTTTTAATTAAAAACATTTCAAATATTGGCAACAAATGGATAAATGAAATATAATTACCGAATTATCAATATTTTTGATATTGTTATTAACAACTGCTTCGTCTTTATTGGACTGAATGGCAAACCTCTTTTCCATTACCTGCGATGGTGTTTGTCGTAAGCCTTTCTTCTCTGTCTTTGTTGCCTAAGAATAATAAAACAATTAAAATATTATTAATCGGAAATTAATGCAAATTAAATGTCTTAAAATTAGAGAGTCATTGATAGGTGACTAATCAATAGGTTATCAAACAATACAATTATAATACATTATAGAAATTAAATTTCTATCAAAACTGCAAATATATTGACATATCATGTGATGATTAGAGTGAAGAGATGGATGTCATCTTCATTGACATACACACAATTCAGTATTGGATACGAGGGCTAAATATGCCCTCAATTCACTCTATCAATCATTTTATGTATTTTTCTCTAAACTAAAAAATAGTTTTAAAAAAATAAAATTAAAAGTTTCATTAAATACCACATTATGGATGTTTTGGTGAGCGATTCGCACTTTTCCTTTGCCGCTATCGTAGGCATCATTTGTGGCACCGATTATCTCATCGAAAGACATCTTACGATTAGAACTGATTTTATTTAAACTTTCAATGAGATCGTCGCCGGACTCGCTGTCCATCTCTACGGGCGGTTCCAAAAACTTCTTTTTCTTAGGCTTTGGTTCACTTTTGTCTAATTTTTGATTATTACTTAATTTATCGACATTTTTGGACACTTTTGGTTTTGTTTTGGTCTCCGTTTTAGACGCTTTTGATTTGTTGTCTGCTTTGATGTGTGACTTCTTATGCTTTCCATTAGTCGACGATTCGTCCGAAGAGCTAACGGACGGCGAATACGTAGCTATCGTTGACTTGAGACCAGTGGTGTCCTCAGAAGTGCTGTAGTTTCCGATGTTATGCTTCTTGAGTTGACTGATTGGCGTCGGTTTATATTCCGGTATATTTTGGTATATGTTATGGCCTTTGGTTGATATAGTTTTGTCATTTGTCTTCTGACTGTTACTCTTGGGATCAGTACTGAGATTATAGGTTGACTTGAGCTGTGAGACGGGTGTGGGAACGTAATCGGGAACAGAGGACACCGTCGATGGGTTGCGACCGTTCTTCGACTTATTGGCCAACACCTCATACCTCGGGTCGTGTCTGTAGTGACAATGGGTTCGCTCGCAAAGACCGGTCCTCAAGAAGGGACACAAAATGTCCCGAAAGTATCCGTTCGTCGGCAGCATTGGTCACAACCGAATCAATCACTCCTTTCTACCAATAAATACCACACTTTTTGTGTCTCTTCTCCGCCAGCGGTGTCTTCGCCTCTTCGGCTCAAACGGTATGTGTTTTTAGGGTTCAAACGAGAGACCAATGAATGATTTGGTCACCAAATGATAATATAATGTCTAAAACTCTATGTTTGGTATAAATCAATACAAATAAAAAGGTATTGTTTCTCGTGTTTTGGTATTTGTTTTGGGACTCAAAGTGTCATCTGTTTTGTGATTCGCCGGAAGACAACCAAAACAGACAATAAATACAATTTGTTTTTCACATCAAAGCCGACGCAAAGACACGAGAAGTCCAGACGTGTTAACCATTATATTTGGGACAATGTTTTCAAATGGATATGACTTTTAAATTGATTTGTTTTTTATTTGACGCGACTTTTGCTGCGAAAAAAAGGATAACAAGTGATGAGAAAAACCCGTCTATTATTGCACACAAAACACACTAAACAGACGTATTGTTCGCACAAATTACGTCCACTTTATGCGCAAACCCTGTCTGCGAGAGTGGAGAAGACCTGATTGTGAGCGTGCAATCAAATTACACATTTCACCATGATACTCGTTTTACATTTTTACTATCTGAGTCATATACCGACACAAATATGAGCGAGAACATTTTCGGTCACATTTACTAACACAGCTAGAACAAATATACCTGGAATATGCATGCGAAAAAAGTGTGATAGGTCAATTGCATTTTAGGGATTAAGGGGTCATTAAACTTGTCAGAGTTTAGGGGCAAAAATGTTTGGTCACAATAGCGCTGTATTGGGCGTCACCGACACATGACTGTGCGCTCACACACTATGGCACGCATTGTATCGCCAATTGGCTAACCATAGTATATGTGTCCCTAAATTGTGCCCTTCATTGCCGACTATTTATCGCAATATATATCGAAATTAAACTAAAAAAACCTGAATTTCGTTCATAAAGATTGAAAAAATATGAAACGCATAGACAATAGAAATGTGCGAAAATCAATTGCCCCTCACATTCCTGTGGACCCATCCGTAACAACCGTGACGTCAATTATATACGACATTTGCAGAGCCCCTGCGCTCCGACGCGTCTACCAGTTGTGTAGGCGTTGAGTGAGTGGCGAGTGTTTAGTAGATTAGCGGACGTATTGTCTGAACGGCGCGTATAGTTGTATGATATCGTTGTTTGGCATAGAATTTGCGATACGTTTGGCTGTGAATTGAGTTGATGTGAGACAAACTGATTGAATGAATGCTTTGCACACAAAACACTCGTATAGTTGTTGTGTTTGATGTCCACCAAAATTCTTGAGTCATAAGCGTGTGTCTCATCGACGCCACCGCTGTTGTCACCCTAATTGGTCCACAACTCAGGCCAACCCTCACTACAGTGTGTGTCCGCACCCGTGAGACACAGTGAGACCCGAGTGGACACCCGATATAGATATACATGTATTGGCGGTCAATGTCTGGGGTTTAATGACATCACATATTTGACTGCTTTTTTGTGCCGACCATTGAATGTCTTCAGCAACGATGATGTCTTCGGCCCCGAAGAGTGTCCGCGTGGCCAACACTCGCATCGTTGAGACCAACAGTTCGGGAATCGTGACGATTGTGATCGACGACGACGACCACTACCGCCACACCGCTGTTGACGACCACTTCTCGGACACGAATTCCTACGACGAGTGCTCGCCGTCGGCCGCAACGGCGCCCACCGGTCGGCCCCACATCGGTGTCCGGAGTCCGGTCTGCACTCCGGGTTCACCCAAATTCATTAATTCGGAGAATTCGCAGAATATTCTCATCAAAGAGAATAAGACAAACGTTATTGTCGTCAACAGCGGCGGCGGTAACACTGGTCTGGGCTTTACGTCACCGCACTTCAGGTCCGGACAGTTGTGTTTGAGTCCGTCGACGTCGTGCTGTTCGCCGCATACGGACGTCCGGACGCATCACAATATTGTGGCCAAACAACAGACCCATTACGTGGTGGTCAATAAGCCGAAGCCGCCGTCGACGGCCACCTCGACGTCCACCACATCATCACCGATGACTTCCAGTATGTCTTCTTCGTCGCCCTTCTCGCCCAAGTTATCGCCAAATAAGCTACGCCTGTGGCAGCCCAACAACGCCAGCACTCCGGCCACCGCCGCCGGCGCGCCGACGACCCCCCGATCGCCGCAAGTGCTGGTCTCGACGCGATCGCGCTCTCAGACGGCGTGTCTGCCGCCCGAAGACGTGGAGTCCGATTGTATGGACGACCGAATGTTCTTCAAGTATCTGAATTTGATTCCTCGGAGGGAATCCATGACCAAAACAGAGCTCACGCTCAGAATTGAATGGCCGCTGCGGAAAGTGACCAGAATTCCCAAACCGGAAACCGATTCAAACGGCAAAATACTTTTGGCCAACTTTAAGGTAATTATGCGCTAATTGTTTATATGTTTTGTTTGTTTGCTATTATTCTGTCATTTAATTGTTTAAATTAAGTGCAATTAATGTTCATTAAAAATAATTGCTGTCATTATTTTATTGGAGTCAATTAGTTGCTCCATAAATGTATGAAAATAGCATTATATTAAGCGTTAAATAACTGTGGAGTTAAGGAATTGAACAACAATTTTGTTAATATTAGTGTTGATTATTGTATGGAAATGAATGTCTGAGCAAATAATTGATTGTATGATCAATGAATGGACAATAATAGGGAGTATCTTAATCCACATCTCATATGGTATGGCATTAGTAGAGGGGAAGAGTTGAGAGGTCTTTGTTTTATTCAATTAGTGTTTTGTGTGTCAGTCACTGAAGGGCTGATCACCACAATTGACACCCATTTAAAGGTTTTATTGCATTAATTCTCTTAATATTCAGCATTTATTCAAATTAACAAATTTAACAAAAAATTGGTCGTAAAAGTGTTGTCGTGTTATTTATAAATTATAATATAAGACTATGTAATGTAGAAATTTGATTAAATATTTTATTTCTGTAGACCTTCTGCTGTTTGTTAAGTGATATTTAGTGTATATTATAATTCATTCTCATATGAATGGCGACAATATTTTTGGTGATTTTGTATTTTGAATAATTTATTCAATCATTTTATGACAATTAACAACATTTATATACTTTATAGACCGGTATATAAATTGCAGTATTGTTTAGATTTAATTAATTATTAAATAGTTTTATTAAAGGACGGCTTCTCATGCGAGCCGTGTGTTTATGGCTGTAATGAAAATGTACTCCAAAATTAAACAATCAATAAATTTTAGTGTTTATTTCTGTCAAATATAATATGAAATGTATTTATTTTCATTAAGAATTAATGAAAATATTATTTGTTTACACAATATATCGTATAATCCGATAATCATATCGTTCTTAACGTCACATTTGGCTCTATTTTTATGTTGAAAAGATTTTTTGTGTGTTTTGTTTTAATATTTAATGTTTGGTTGAATTGACATTCATTGCCATATATATTGAGTACAGAATATATAGGAATCCAAATGTAATATTTCATTGTCTGAGAGATCTTTAAAAACTTGGTTTGGGTTTGAGTGACGGGACGGGTGTCTAATGCCCTGTGTTTGGCGCACCTCAACCTCACTATCACCTCATTCGAAGGTCACTACCGGTCCTCCAGAGAGCGAGAGAGAGAGAGAGAGAGAGAGAGAGAGAGCTATATTTATTTAAGAACTAAGACTAAAAAATATCATTTTAAATGACGAGAAACTGAATATTTTGAAAATTTGAATTAAATGTTGACAGAAATTTGAATTAAATTTAATTCTTAATTAAGAGACATAAAGACAAAACAAAGCATTTGAAAAAACTTGAAAATAGATAGTTATGATAAGTTATTTCTATTTTAACGCCATTTTTAAAGTTTTTTCCAATTAGTCGACTATTAATATAGGAATGGATTTGCATTATAATCACTGAATTAATTACTGAAATGAATTGCAAATGAGATTCAAATTTGATATGAAAATAATCCGCTTAATAAATTTTAATTATGTTTTCATTTCATTATTAATGACTTATATAAAATGTATACTTTATATAAAATAATTGATATTTGTTAAAATAAATACAAGAATGTAATAATAAACGCATATTTTATCATTGATTTCAAATGTGGAAACAATTAGACATTTTGACATTCATATTAATGATTCAATTGGAATTTAAGCATGGTTATTTACTAAACATAGTTGCCCTAATCCTATGCATAAGTCTGAGTTGATTGGTAATGGTTAAACAATAATCTCAGGAAATGTACCAACATTTTCACGATTATTATTACAGTATGTTATCAATGATTAGGTAATGTTTTGTTTAATACAGTCATTGATTATAAATAGTAATTCTGACGAAAGAAGGTTTGCGTGAAATATAACACTTAATACAGAATAATGGCATATAATGTCATAAATATTGTTATAAATCGTTTATAATATTAAAAGAAATAGTTTTTAATCAAATGATTTTTGATGGAATATTTTTTCAATTACTTTATAGAAAGTGGTTTACATCTGAAATAAATATACAATTTTTTTTGTTAACCACTAAAATGACTTAGAATTGGAGAATATTATTATAGATTTAATTCAATTATTGCAAGATCTATATAAGTTTTCTTTAGTGTATTTTCTTTAATATCATTGAAATTCCGTTTCTGTCAATAATATATGATTTATTCTGACTTTTTATTGACCAATAAACTTATATTATTATTTGTTTTGACTAATATATTGTCCATAATGCGTATTCAGTTAATACCATCATTAATTTTAATACATTTTGTTTGACAGATCTCATTAATCTATTACATTTAGTAATTCTTTAATTGTAAGCAAAATACTGTGACAGTTGACCACTCTATATCACTGTTATATATAAGATGTTTATTGAATTTGATTTAGAAGTGATGTTTTATTAATTAAATTGAATTCATTATTACAGTGTTTTATGACAATTATTACAATAAATGTATTGAAATTAATTATAATTAATGTTAAAATATAGTTAATTCGAGAGCCAATTAAGAGCACACCAGACATGAAGCAAGTGTTGAGCGAACGGAAGGTCCAGTGGTATAGAGAAGCGCAACAATACAATGAAAGGCTCCAAAGATTTAAACAAAATCTTCCCCGAAATCTGGAAGTGAGACATAAATGTCAGTCAGATTTGGAAGGACTTCATAAACGACTTATGGCTGAAAAGAGTAGACTTAATGTCGACGAAGAGAAATACCGGCGATTGAAAACTGTTGAACAGAACCAGAGATTACATAAAGAGGAACTCATTCAGGAGTTGGAGGGCTATACCAACGCTTTCGAGATATCGTCGCTTATGGGACGACGCGTTCGTCTCTCCAGCGATAACTCATCCCTAAATCCGCTGCAAATCTTTAATTTGAATATTCGTAATGAGAACTATTGTAATCAACTGAAGACCATTCGAGACCTGATCGCAGCTACTGTTCCACAAAATGCTAAACTCTCGACACGAATCACTCGTTCCAACACTGGGTTCGCCGGCATTGATAAGATGTGGGGACCGAGGAGTGAGAGCCACGAGTACTCCTTCACCAGAAAGCAGAGACTCGAAAGATATCAGCGCTTGGAAACCGGTCTCAACTGGAAATCACGATTAGTTAAGAAGCACTGCAAGAGTATTGATGTCGAAGTGGACAAGTATTGCATATTTCTTATCATATTATTCACTGTTTTTTAGTCATTTCTTACCATTGTTTGTAGTGTTTGTCAATAGTTTTATGAATTTGAGACAAATGTAGAAATGTATTAATTGATTGTATGCTTGAATTGCAGGATAACTCGGTGTCCGTGTTGTCTGGAATTAGTGGAACCCGAGTGGGGCCACAGTTGTCGCGATTCCGATGAGGAGTCAATCGCCGGAGACATATCCAGTATTAATGGCTCGGAGTTTGGCGTTCAGTCGGAGAATACATTCAATGACGACGAAGTGATTTCGACGAACAGCGAAGTCGTGACAATTGGAAACGTTGTCTGCTATGAATGCGGGCGTCAGGACTGTCTGGGAAACTGTGTCGACTTCAACGGCACGACAGTCACACAAATATCAATCACTGAGCCGTCAGCCGTCCACAGCTCAGTCGCCGCACCCATTATTGTGTTCTCAGCCAACGAAGGACTGCTTCCCGTGAAGTCTGAAATCGAGGACAAGATTATGGTTCAAAAGGTTCCGATTCTGTACGACAAGAGCAACAATCATAGCCACAGCCGACGGAGTGATAGCATTCCCATTAAGAGAATTAATGACCAGAGTTTGCGTTCGGCGGCCGATAAGAGTGCGGAACCAATGGAATCGGACGACGATATTGTGATCATAAATGAGGTGCGAAGCGAACCCCACATAATCGGTTCGTCGCCGCGACCGTTGAAACGTATGGGCGAACCCGTTGTCATCAAATTCTTGCCCTCCAATACCGACACTAAACCGTCGATTAAACGCAAGTTTTCCGACAAAAGACTTCGCTCTCATTCTCGCACTAATTCTGACGAAATAATTGTTAAGAAAATCAAATGAATACTAAAAACGTGACATTAATTTCGTATAATTATTACACATTGTTTTCTTTCTTTCAAAACTTATTTAATTCCCGATTCTTTTAAAATAATTAAATTATTTCTGTTTTATCCGTATATAGTATATAGAAAAGTGATCACAAATTATAATTATCTCCAATAATATTCGTATAATTTTGTATTTTGTGTGCAAAATTATTATGCAGTTGTATTGCTTAGACCTCTTATAGTTAAGCAATACATTTAATACTTACAGTTATTTATTGGTAGAACAGTGTATATAATGGTTGATTCAGATATGATTATAAGGACTATTAATATTTGAAAAGTAATTACAATTTAATAGAAAATAATTTTTTAAAATATATATTTTTCATATAAAAACCAAATCTTATTATTACTGGATTCATATAATATTAAGTTATGCGATAAAAATAACGCATCATTTCTTATCATTAATACTTCAAACGTTTCCTATTTCTGTGAAATTCATAAAAATGTAAAAATATTTTAAACTCATTTTCTCGCTATAATTCTGTTAATCCATTGATCCATAAGATCTGCTCAACAAATGAAAAAACTATGAAAGCCTCTGACGACTTGTTGTATAATATTTATTACTTTATTTAAAACATTTAGAAAGGATATGAAAGAAACATTGTAACCATGTTTTCATTCGATGAATAAATAAAATACATTTTATATGATATTTTTTAATTAAGATTAGTTACAAATTTATTATTTTACATAAACTTTATTTACAACTACTTCTTGGAGGGCAGGTAAGCGACTGTGTCTGTGCCGCAGTGTTTGTTTGTCACACTGTTTGGACAGTTGAACGGCAGAAGTGTGTCTTTGTTGAGACATACGTTGATTTCGGACACAATGGGGGAGTCGTTGTGTTTTTTGGTGAGACACTCGACTCGGGGCTGATGTCCGAGACCTTTGCTGAGCGCCGATAGGAAATCATTCAAATCATACGCTTTACTCTCAGATGGAGTGATGTTAGCGTCGGTTAACCACTTGTCGATTGAGAGCTCATTGAAAGCGTTTAAACTATTCTTAAAATAATTGAGTTCTCCCTTAAGGAGATCCGATTTCATAGCGCAAGTGCCGTGTTTTGTCCACTCGTGTGACCAGAACTCTTCGCTCGTACCGCTGGCCTTCAATGAGCCCCACTTTTTGGTCAATTCTGTCTGAATGGACGATATCTTTGTGGGCTCGAAGTCCTTCTCGAAGCAACAGTCTTGAGGCCATTTCCCGCTATAATACTGAGGCCACGCGCCGTGAATACCCCACACGTCGTCGTGAGTCCGGCATTGAGTTGTTTCGCAAAAACTTTCGGGCCATTGGAGGACAAGCAATATATAGTCCATATCGTAGTGTTCCGAACAATTGGCGTCCGCACCGGTGATCGGATTGAATACATTCAACAATATAAATATTATTGGCAGTGATATTCTCGCAAAAATCATGATTGTAAAATGTAATGAACTTTTTACTAATCTTTTTGGACAAATATTTAGACTATTAAATGAAAAAAATAATTGAATCCTTTGTTTCTTATATATGATTATAAGAGGATATCGCGGACTTATGAACCGATGCTGGGGGTTGGGCTCAAGGATTGTCACCATATGGTTATCTTACAGCTATTTACTTATATAACAATATGTACTTTAGAATTGATTTAATCAAAATAGATACAAAAATTGTTAGATTAAACACAAAACTTTCAACATTCACTATCACATGAGTATTAAATACATTATTACTCTTAACCAACACTTGAATTTATTTTCAATTAATTAAAGTGTGGTTTTAATCAAAATCTAATTTACCCTCATCATCAAATTCTCAAGAATTAATAAGATATTAAAAACATTAACGATCTAATGATTGACTGATTAAACAATTATTACTTTAGTATTTTTAATGTAATTTGGAGTATACACTGTATGTGAGAACAAATCGTTTTTACGTCAATCGGTGTGTAAATATAATTAATTGAAATAATAAGTTACCTATTTTTGTAATTATCAATACATTACACAATTATTTACAAGATTTAAAAGTAAAATACCTGTTTTTAATATCAAGTCTTATGTGAATTATAACACATTTGTTTAAATTTAAATCTCAACAACAATCTCAAGAATATGAAGCATTTCACTAGAAATGCCCTAAACTTTACCCTAAAGTATTGTAGTGTCGATTTGATGATAGACTATATCAGATTAAAACATATAACAAATTCAATTAGTTAAGTATAATTAAACGCACGCTTTTGTATTTTAATCACATATTTATTTTAATTAAAAAATGAAAAGGATCAAAACATGTATTTTAAAAATTATATTAATATTAAACAAATACCGGTATTTATTTAAAGTGCAATATGTGTTATCGTATTAAATAAAATAACAAATGAACTAATTTTAAAAATCAACTAAAAACAAAATTATATTGATAGCTAATATATGACTAGTGTTGACAACAGTATAGGTAATAAAGATAACCAAATTCCTTAACAATCAAAATAATCATTAAACTCGTCGACAGTAAAAGTAACGCATTTGTATGCATTCCTCTTAGTCTTCTTGGGAGGGCAGGCGATATCAGTCGGTCTCTCGATGGGTATAATCAGCGTTTTGGGCACTCTTTGCTTCTCCACCACAAACATTGTGACCGACGAGCTGTAGACCGGCGGCGGCTTATATGGGATCACTTCAAACGTGTGGAAAATCTCCTTCTCCTTCAACGGCACCAACTCTTTGCAGTCCAGTATTGGGTCCGCACGATATGAATAGCTTTTATACTCTTTATACACTTTTGTTGGCATTTTTGCAATAATCAGTTTTAATGCTAACGAATGCAACACTTCTTTAACATTCAATGTTCTCCACAAAAATAATCAATACTTTTAGAAATCGTTTGTTATTTATATTCAATTCATTCAATTCGCTAAATGTTTGCGTTTAATGCATAATCACATCCATTGAAACACATAAAAATGAGATCACATGTGAATTAAAATTTCTAATTTTCAATAATATTAATAAATAAATTCTCAATTCAATACATAACAAGAATTTAAGCTATAATACCGTATATTTGCAATGCATTTGATATGCACTACATTTTTGTAGTTAAATAGATTTAGAGTATAATCTAATTATTTATTAACGTGTTTTTTATGTCTTAAGAAATCCTTTTATAATAAATTTTTCCAAATGTATAATAATTTGAAACAAATAAATCTAATGAATAAATTTGTTTTTTAAAATAGAGTTTACTTATTATCAAATTAATGGCAAATTGTGTCACCATTTGAGATAACCTTATTTGTAATTTTTTTTAAATCCACAATTTCTACATTAAGTCACGTCTAAACAGAATTAAACATTTATTTATCAAATTTCTATTAGTTTTGATTTTTCCAATCTGTAATATAATTGAAATGCAATACAAAAAAATGTTTGAAACAAATAGCTTATAATGAATTCATAATTGAAGTCAAGGACAGCAGAGGTTTTTGTGCAAAATAAGTAAATTTGATTGTTTCAAAAACACAAACACTCATTTAATTTTATACAATTATAATACTTTTAATAATTTTAATAAATTCATGGATAACTGATTACAATTCATTTTTTTGCTTAACACAACTTAAACCTCAAATCAAAATAACATCTCTTAATTAATTCTGAGAATGTTTTGTAAATTTCTATTTTTGCAATCCTTTTACGGATCTGTTGTTACTTCTGTTATATTGAATTTGGTCTCCATTTCAGTTGATATCTGTTTCATCTGACTCTGCATTGAAGTCACCTTTTGTTTCAATGAAAGCAATTCTTCGACAGAAACCAATGTCTTATCGGTTCCATTCATTATATCTTTTAAGGACTCGATTTTGAAATTCTTTGACAAATTCTGTTGTGTCAGCGATTCAATCGTTTTATTCAATTCACTTATTTGTGTCTCTAATTCGCAGATCTTATTGTCTTTTTCCTTCAATTGTGATCCCATTTCTGACAGTTTAGTCTCAATTTCCAACTCTCTATCTTTAGCTTCAGTTTCAAAGCGATCCACTGTTTCGGCAAACTTTTGGCTTAACTTTTCAATGCGGTGCTCGAGTTGTCTGTTTTGGACCACAACTGTATATCTTTCGTCGTTTTCAATATTAAACTTTTTATTTAAAATTCTGTTAATTTTGGGAATAAGAGGTTCGCCGAGAAGTAGGAAAAAGATATCGACATTGAATGACTGCCACATCTCGTGCTGATTGTTATACATAGTTATGGCCACTATTCCGAAGATATTGGCAATCAGTTGCACATCATTTTCCTTCAATATATTTTTGATAAACGATCCATAGTTTGGGATATAAGACATGTTGCCGATGGTCACCAACCAGTCCTCTATGAATTTAAAGTACATTCTGTCTCTCACTCTCCTCTTTCGTCCGCAAACCGATTCAAACTTTTCGATAATTGAGGCCAAAAGTACTCCATCTCTGAGCTCATCGATGTCTTTGACGTGAGAGAAGGTTTTATGTCCGGTGCTCTTATTGAGCGCATCCAACCCCTCATTCAACGAGTTAATAAAGTGCTGGGTCTCTGAATAGGTGACTGTCTGTAAAGAAATATGTTATCAATATTTATAAGTTTACGGCTCTTTTATCTCTCATCACAAATTCTTGAAAGTTTCAAAAAACTTATTTAAATTTGTATTTTGTGGCGAATGTATTGTATAATCAATTTTTAAAGAAATAATTTGACTCGACATTAGATTCATGAATAAAACAGTCAACATTTAAAATATTTCAAACTTACCATTTCAATGCACTTGTGTTTGTAAGATATTTACAATAAACAGACAGTTATGTCAAATAACTTATTTATATTTTGAATATATTTTGTTTCTCTCTATTTTTCCAATCAAAAAAATTCGTCAAAATATTTTCAATTTATACCAAATATTTTCCAATAGATAATTGAAACACAAATTTTTAGAAATAATTGATTTCACATTCAATTAATTAGTGCATAGAAACAACTAACCATTTCTCTCTTATATAATTATGTCATTGATTTATTAGACATTTCGTGTGAATCTTTTTTATTATTAAAAATTTTAATATTATTAAATAATGAATTCATGATTACATTTATATTAAGTTTGAAAATTTGCTTTCTAAATGAATATTTCATTGATTTATAATAACATAATGTATAGTTCGTTCACCCTGAACAATTTTGGCTTTTTGCGTTAAATGTTAAACCTATTTAAGCGAATCTAATCTAATATACCGAACATTTTGATTGAAAAGCATTTCTTTAAAAAATCTCATATTTCACACAAATATTATTTTCCAAAAATACATTTTTGAGACAAAATTCTCTGTCTTAATAATAAATTACCGGCAATTCATTATTAAAGCAAACTATAAGTCAAATATTTATAAATATATTTGATATGTTACTACATTATTCTGTATAGAGCTATGTTATAGTAAACATAAGAAAAAATCTTATTTTTGCAAACATTACATACAAAACCGGTAATACATCGTAAGCTTTGTTACCAATTATTCTCTCATAATATTTGTTTTATAATATCTGAAAAAACTATTTGAAAGCAATTTTTCTTAAGAATCTACTCACGACTCGCTGGAGAAACACATTAAAGCCATCGCTTATATGTTTCTTCAGTAATATAATATTCAATACTTAATATATTTGGAGTTGAGTTCAAATAGGAGTTTGGGATAAGGGATAAAGAGGAGTGAGGGTCGCAATTGCATGCGTCAAATACTTGGGATTTATCGTTAAGTTGGCATTAAATAGGCGTTTAGGAGATTGCAGTGAAAGAAATTAAGGTTAGGTGTAGTTGGGTCTCAACGGTGCGGAACAACAACTGTTTAAGCATTTTTTATTTTAGTTTAAAATATAGTTTTGCAACTCAAAGGCAGAGAGCAAAGAGAGAGAGAGAGAGAGAGAGAAAACTTTCTTCCATAGGCCTAACGATAAATGTTAACTATATATTGAGTCACAACAACTCCAACCACTTCTTCCAACATCGCTAACCTTGACTTCTTATACCAGAGCTCTTTCAACACAACACATCCACTCATAAATTAGATCCAACCATACTATCCATGCTATCCAGACATAGAGTACATGCCGTGTATATCCCTATCCATTACGCGAACACTTTTTCTAAGCGTTCACTTCTTCTCTCGACGTCTAAGAAGTAACTAATGATCACTTGTTTTCATATGAATTCTTGCGCTGATTCACGACCACCTCTTCAGTCGGATGTGAGCCATAAGTGTTACCATTAATCCATACCTTCAGTGGCGCTAAAGCGCGGAAATGTTTACGAATAAAAAATGATATGTAAGTCATAATTAACGCAAAAACTTTTCATTACTATTATTAAACAATCTGTTAATTTTCAAGTTTAACACTAAACAGACTGTTTGACTATAAAATTTTGTTTTATTTGCCAAAATCAATATTAATGCAAGACATTTAACACTTGATAACATTTGCCAAAATTTAAATGAATGTCAATTTTCACGACAATATATAAGTTTTGTGTTTTAAAATCCATAGTTAAATGAATGTGTCCTTCGAGCTAATCATAACAATTACTTTCTTAAATTAGTTATCATTTATTTAAATGAATTCATTTGGAAATATACTTTAAATAATAGTATATATTGTGGAATAGTTTGTTATTTTTGTGCAAAAATTAATATATTTATTAAGATTTAGTTTGTGATCGACGAGTAAAATGAATATTTTGTATATAAGAGCTTATAATATAATTCATTATTTAAATACTTAAGGAAATTGTTGGTAATTCTTGAGTGAAAGTCATTAATAAAAAAGGTCTTTAAAATTCAGTGATAATTAGTTGCTTATTATTTGTGATATATACCACTAATTGTGAATTCATATAATTTATAAGTGTTTTTCAAGTATTTTCATTGAGAATTCAACACAAAATTCAAAACTCCTTTTAAGCAAAAAACCTCAAAACCAACGTATTATTTAAAACATGATAAGTAATATTATAATATCATATCAAATACATGCCACTAATCCTACAATTAATTTAAATATCTTTTTATAGACTAGTGTTTAATAAATATTTTTGCTTTTTTGTTAATTATATTCTGCATATGACTGCGAGAATAGTTAATGCAATTTCTAAATATATTTTCATTATTAGATATAATTATAAATGAGATTTTGAAAGATTTTAAAACGAGATTTCAATCATAAAAAATATATTTTTATGCATTCCTATGATTTCAATCTGTAATCTAATTGGCGTTTAGAGTTATACATCATTTTTCTGACACTTTCCTCAATCTCTGCTTATACTCTCATATTTAGCCCATAATTATTGTTTAGTTTACGAATTCATCACTTCTTGTCTTTTGAGTAAAACTATTTTTCTTTGGAAACTGTGTATAAATTTCAATTAATGTTCAAAATATGAACAAAAATATTCATACAATAAAGGCTCGCATTCAGCATAAAGAGTAACAGTTAGTGAATTGCTGTTAAACACAAACAATTAGAGTAAATATTTCGGGCTATAGTTATACACCAAACAGTATATAACAGTAATGTATGATAATTTATAAACATTAGACTCAAAAATTTCCCACAATTTTAAATGTCAATAAATGGGTCTTTTATTTGTTTGCGATCTACAGTACAAAGCAATAAATTGATTGCAGAATAAATAAATAAATGAACAAATTTTTGGAAGTGAACGAAACATTTAGAAAATTGTATGAAAATATTTATCCCTTACAATAATAACAAGAATTTTGCCAAAATTAACTGTTCTTTCACTTCATTCGCCACTTACTAGTGGTTTAATAACATTTAGTTATTATTTTAATCTTATAGAAATTGCAACAAATTTTAAAATACATATTTAAAAAAGTGTTATGTATATTGTATTTTATATTTGAAATAATTGAAATCCTCTTGTATTAAAGTTAATGCGTTTAATGACGTGAATCCTATTTATATTACTGTTATTCATAGGATAATACTGTATATCAATTACAAACATTAATAAGTTAGTATTGTTTGACAAATGGAAACCCTTTAAGTTATTATCATTATTAAGATATACATTACATTATTTACATTACAATTGTTTTAATAGATTGTTGTAATTGTATTGTAAATAAAATTTTAGTAAAGAATATTAGATTGCTTCCTGTTCAATTGAAATTAATTATAAATATAACAATATTTGAAAACTTTAAATGTTTAGTTTGATTTTCACACAACTTTGTGCATTAGATATCCAAAGCTGAATACATGAATCCCTTTATTAAATTATTAAAAAATTGCTGTTTAAATAGGTTTTGTAGTAAACACTTGGTTAGTGTAAGATTAATCACCTCGATTAATTTGAAAAGCACTAATTACTGACACCCAAATCAGTTTAGATTACCTTTATTATTATATAATTTGAAACTTAAAAATAATTATAAAACTTTAATTTATTTAATAATATTACTTACAATATATTAATAAATAACATTTAAAATTACAACTTATATCATTTTTAAACTTTTTAAATCGTTTTATATTTAGTGATAAAAGAATTGGTAATCCTGTCATCACTTTTGGTAATAATCATTAAATGTGAGCCCAATTACGAGCGCATTGACTGCAATTCAGCCACATTTCTATATCCGTGTCGGTGTCTAAACGATCCCCGAAATGAGGCCAAAGTGGAGACAATCAACTGCACCGGCGGTCCGTTGGAATTGAAGCAGATATCACAAGAACTGAATGATAGACTATTAGGTGATCGCAAATATCCCAAATCCTATAAAATCCAAAAGCTTGTGATTCAAAACACACCGATTCAACAAATCCGGTCCAAAGTGTTTGAAAGGATACCTTTCGTCGAAATCATTATTAAAGACAATCACGAACTCCATTACATCGACCGAAACGCCTTTAATGGTAGCGCCGATAGTCTGGAAGTGATTAACTTAATCGACAACAGAAAACTAGCCGAAGCCTCGCATACGGCGGCCGATCTCTGGATATTATTGAGTAAATTTGTAAAATTGCGTGAAATAAAAGTGACGGGAAATGGTATCACTTCTATCCCGAGTCACGCCTTCCGTTCAGTGGACGGCCAAAGAGATCGTCTAAAACACATCGATTTGAGTCATAACCAAATCCATACGATCGGCGACTTTGCTTTCGAGGCGTTAACCTCTCCATCGCTGGACTTAATTTTCTCGCACAACAAAATCAGAACAATTGGCAAAAATGTGTTCCGATTCCAAGAGTCGCGAGAAGTGATTCGTATGATTGACTTGAGTCACAATCAACTGTACTCCCAGTCCTTTGACGTCGAGTCGTTCAGCCGAATGGGTCGTCCGCTCGCTATTCTGTCCCTTAAGGACAACAAAATGGACGCATTGTCTGAGAAGACTTTCGGACCACTGTTTGATCGGTCGGACAAAAACTACTTTGTGTTGGAAGTGGTGGGGAATAACATTCATTGCGATTGTCCTCTTGGATGGACAGTACGAACCAAATACTGTTACACCGATAAGTCAGTTCCGGTCAGTCATCAGATCGTATCCCTTAAATGCGGTCCCAAATCGATATCTCAGTACGACTTCTCCTATTGTTCACAAATGGAGGAGCGATTGTCGCCGTCGTGCAGAACCAGTGGACACAACACAGCCATCCCTTTACTACAAACTAATCACAAATTGTTTGCCTTCACTATAATGAGTGCATTAATTATGTTTTCGTTTTAATTTATGTTAATCATTAATTTTGAAAGAAATTTTAATTATTTCTTTCATTTGTGGAGAAAAATAAATTTCATTAACATATTATGTAAATTAACGCCAAAAGAAATATTACTATTTCATTAATAATGTATAAAAATCGGATATAATTAAGAGCTGATGTAATGTAAAAAGTTTTTGTTTGTGTTTCGTATATAATTGTAGGAAATTAAATACCGTATAAAATATCTGTCCTTTTTTTTTGTCCGTAGGTTTTCATAGTAGGAGTCAATTGTATGAAACGTTTTGCTAAAATATAATTCAATAGAAAACAAAAATTCTTATTATTAAATGTAATAATAAACTGAAAACTTAGAAAACATAAAACATTGAAATTTTTATTCAGTGAGCGATTCACTCAATTTTAACTATTATTCTGTTAAAATTTTTTATCAAAAGAATATTTATTATTATTATTATTATAAATACAGTGCAACCTCTCTTGGGGAAACTTCTCTTGGGGAAACACCTCTTCATAAGAAACGGTTTTGAAATCTATTTTGGATTTCCTATACTTCTAATGTTAAAATGACCTCTCTTAGGGAAACTTCT